AAAAAAATGTGAGGTCAACCATCTGGAGCAATCCCAGGGCAGTTGGGCACTGGAACTAAGTGAGGTGATGATGAGGGAGTTAGGAGAGGCTGAATTTCCTGTCTGAGCCACAGTGAGTGGATATGACTGAGTAGAAATGTGGGTATTATTAGTGCTAAGGTGCCCCAGGTAGAGTGAGTTACAGGGTGGACACCAGATCAAAGTAAGATTGAAAGGTGACTCAGGAACATTTTTTGTAAGTCAACTTTCAGTTTGTTTTTATGTCTACATTCACTGAGCGAAAATTTATGAAATGCCTACTATGTAATATTCTTCACCCTGGAAATAAAGCAGTGAAGCAGAGAAAAATAAAGCAAGGTAGTAGGGGAGTAACAGGTGGCTCAGAGATGGTGGCTGCTTTTTCTATAGCGTGACTAGGGAAGACCTCACTGATAAGGTGGCATTTAAGCAGAGATCAAAGTGAAGCAGAACTGAGATGAGAGCTTTCTGGACAGAGACAATAGTAGGTGCAAAGGGCTGGAGGCAAAAGTGTGGTCAAGGGACAACAAAGAAAACAACTGTCTAGTCTGGTGTGGATGAAGGGAAGAACATGTAACAGACAAGGGCACAGAGGAAGATGGAAGCCGTGGAGAAGTGGTGGAATTCTATATTCTGAAGATGGTGCTAATAGCATTTGCTTATGAATGGATGCAATATGAAGAAGAAAAGTCAAAATGACTCCGGGTTTTTTGGCCTGGGCAATTGAATGAGAAAGACTCTTCTACTTGCCACACTGTCCTGAGTATATGCAGGTACTGGTTTAAGAATGTACTGAAGCTGGGACTTCCTGGTGGCCTAGGGGTTAAGTCTCGGGCTATCACCACTGAGGCCTGAGTTGGATCCCCAGCCAGGGAACTAACCCACAAAAGGTGCTGCAGATCTCTGCTGCCTCAGCCATTGCTCCCTTCAGCAGTGTATCTCAGTAGCTCCGCCTATTCTGCTCTCCACCTTATCTGATGAATCCTCTCAGCCCCACCCCCTCAAGCCCTAGCTCTTGTATGCATAAATAAATAAATATTTTTTAAAAGAATATTAAAAATGAACTTGTGCTGCTGATTGCTTCACAGCACAGAGACTTAACCTCTTGTTCCACAGGGAAGCCCAATATGTTGTTCTGTTTTAAAAAGTACTGAAGTCTTGAATGACTGGAAAATCCAGACCAAGTGGTTATAGAGGGTAACTGACCTGGACCATCTTGCCTTTAGAAGTTAGCCAAGTAAAGCAGGAGAAGAGATGGGCAATAGAAATAAGTGAATTCCCTACCTAGTTTGGCCATAAGATGCTAGATGTCAAAGGCCCTCCCTGGTGGCGCAGCGGGTTAAAGTGCAGCACTATGAAGCTGGCCAAGCTGGCCACAGCTGTTTCAGCACAAGTTCCATCCCCAGCCAGGGAGCTGACCCATATAACCCTACAGACTTCTCCTGTCTCACCCCTGCTCCCCTCAGCAGTGTATTTTACCAATCTGCCTGTCCTGCTCCTAACTCTGTCTCTGGTGAATCTTCTGACTGCCCTTGCACCTCTGACCTATCCCGCAGTTCTGTGTGCATACATAAATAAATCTTAAAAAAAAAAAATGTGCTAGATGTCAATCCATCTTGGGTAGATAAGCTAAAGTTAATGGTTGGCATTA